TCCAATTGCCCAGACTCAAAATTGGCACAACTCTACCTATCTATACTGACGGCCTGTCTAATTCTGGCTTCAATGTCTCTGGGATTTTGTTGTTGTTGTTTTTGTGGTTCTGGGGATTGAACCAGGGCCTCATGCATGCTAGGCAGCACTCTCCCACTGAGTCACATCCCCAGCCTCTGGGAACATCTTACTTCTTCATGCTTTTTCCATATTGTCATATATTCCTCTTTTTGTTTGGTGATGGGGGGGCGGATAGAACCCAGGGACTCTTCCATTGAGCTACATCTCCAGCCTTTTTCCCTTTTTGTTTTTTATTTTGAGACAGGGTCTCAAAAAATTGTTGAGATTGGTCTGGAATATGCAATCCTCCTGTCTCAAGCCTCCTGAGTTGCTGGGATTACAGGCATGAACCACCACCACCGATTGTCATATCTTCCTATAGGTGATTCTAAGCCAGGATTCAAGACCTACAAAGGAAGCAAGTGTTAAATGATTTGGATGCTATCATGTAGTTTATATTCTGGCAGAAGAGATGGGCTTTAAATACATATTGACATATTACTTAATTAAAAGTATGATAGATGCTTAATTTTTGTTGTTGTTGATGTTGTTGTTGTTCTTCTTCTTTCCCCTGTGCTGGGGATGGAATCCAGAGCCTTGTACATGATAGGTAAGCACAACACTCCAGTCAAGATTTCTTTATACAACATTTCTGTATTATTCATAATTAACAAATAGAACAAATATAAAGAGAAGTAACTTTAATATTAATCTTGTGTGCTGAAGATGATTAGTTGAAGAAAGATTTAGGTCACCAATGCAGATTTTTATGGAAATTCTAAATAAAACTAGGCACCTTAATATTCTTTAGAGGCTGATGGCATTGACTCTTTTTTTTTTTTTTTTTGGCAGGGGAGCGGGTACCAGGGATTTAACTCAGGGGCACTCAACCACTGTGCCACATTCCCAGTCCTATTTTGTATTTTATTTAGAGAGAGGGTCTCACTGAGTTGCTTAGCACCTCGCCTTTGCTGAGGCTGGCTTTGAACTCCCTCTGCTGCCTCTGCCTCCTGAGCCGCTGGGATCACAGGCAGAAGCCAAATGCCAGGCTCTTTTTTTTTTTTTTTTTAAGCCTAATTTTACTATCTGGAGCTTTCTTTTTCCCTGGTATAGTAGTATTACTCTCTCTATTCTTATGCTTAAGAAACATAATTAGGCATGTTCTCTGGCTTCTTAAATGAAAAAGATTGAGAGAAAGTAAAAGAGAAAGGTTTTTTTTTTCTTTAGCAACCAAGAAGTAGTGAAAAAAAGAATGAGATGAGGAAAAGGAGAAACTATAAGATGGGGGAGGAGAGAGGACTGCAGCAGCAGCTCAGTGGTGGAATGCTTGCCAAACACGTGAATCCCTGGCTCAGTCCCTAGCACCAAAAACTAAAACCCACCCAAACCCAACAAAACAAAAAACCCCAACTCTCCAGTGAGGAAAGTTAACAGAAGAAAAGGCAGATAGATGAGACCATTTCCCCACCTCTTGTACTTGGTGTGGTCAATCAGAGATATTTAATGGCTTCTTGTGACTAATAAATAGCCAGTAAGATTTAACTCATCTTTAAAAACAAAAATTAATTTGTAGATGGACTGCATGCCTTTATTTTATTTGTTTATCCTTATGTGGGGCTATGGATGGAACCCAGTGCCTCACTTGAGCTAGGCAAGCACTCTGCCACTGAGCTGCAGTCTTAGCCCAGATTTGTTCATTCTTTTGGTATGATATTTACATATTGTAAGTTCAAAACGTAAGGAGCACCTGTATTGAGGGATTATCTTTTTTTCTTTTTTGTAGTTGCAGTTGGACATAATACATTTATTTATTTATTTATTTATTTATTTATTTATTTATTTATGTGGTACTGAGGATTGAACCCAGGGACCTGAACATACTAGGCAAGCATTCTACCACTGAGCCACAGCCCCAAACCCAAAAGGATTAATCTTTTTTTTTTTTTTTAAAGAGAGAGTGAAAGAGGGAGAGAGAGAGACATAGAATTTTAATATTTATTTTTTAGTTACTGGTAGACACAACATCTTTGTTTTGTATGTGGTGCTGAGGATCGAACCCGGGCCGCACGCATGTCAGGCGAGCACGCTACTGCTTGAGCCACATCCCCAGCAAGGATTAATCTTTAATGAATGACTTCTGTCTGGGCATGGTGGCACAAGCCTGTAATCCCAGCTAATTGGGTGGCTGGGACAAGAGGGATTTCAAGTTCAAGGCCACCCTGTGCTATTTAGTGAGAACCTGTCTCAAAATAAAATTTGTAAATGGATTGGGGATGTAATGCAGTATATATTCATAAAGCATTTCATATACATACATATATATGTATCTTTGCATATATATATATAATATATATATATATATATATATATATATATATATATATATATATATATATGAAGGGTTCTTTATATATATTTAAAGGAGGACCCTTCTTTATTCTCTTCATGAATTTGTCATTTTTGGGCAAGGATGATGCTAATCTTCATGTATCATTTCTTTCTTTTTTTAAAATATTTTTAGTTGTAGTTGGACACAATACCTTTATTTTATTTATTTATTTTTATGTGGTGCTGAGGATCGAACCCAGTACCTCACACATGCTAGGCAAACACTCTACCACTGAGCTAGAGCCTCAGCCTTTCATGTATCATTTCAATTTTAGTATATGTACTGTTGAAGCCAGAACCTTTAGGAGATGTATTCTTCACAAACATTTCAATGCTAGAATCCCTATTGTACAGCTAAAATAACTAAAGCTGAGAGAGGGGCTAAACTCACAGAGCAATAAAGATGTCACAGTGAACTTTCCCAATGCAAAATGTATTTGTGTATATACAGGGTCTCCCTAAGTTGCTCAGGCTAGCCTCAAATTTAGGATCCTCTGGCTCAGCCTCCCAAGCAGCTGGGATTACAGGTGTGCACCACCACACCTGACATGAAGTATATTGATAATGGCAATCTCTCTATGTTCCTCATTTCTTACCTCTCCCTTCCTCTAGGGTTTTTTGTTGTTGTTGTGAGGGAGGGTACTAGGGATCTAACTTACGGGCACTTTGCCACTGACCCTAGCCTTTTTATTTTTACTTTCTAAATTCTGAGACAGGGTCTCACTGAGCTGCTGAGGCTGTTCTCAAAATTGGATCCTTCTGTCTCAACCTCCCAAATCACTGGGATTATAGGCATGAACTACTGCACCCGGCTCCTTTAGTTCTTAAAGACCTGAAGGGTGGCTGGATATAGCATCCAGTCCTGTGAAGCATGGACACCCTCCTCTTCTGTGTTAACCTAGTCCGGGGTTCTGTCTCTTTGATCTAATCAACTGCCTGTTGCTTTTTATCTAACTTTTGCTAGTTCTTGATGTATTTTCAGTTTGGCTTATCTTGAATTTTTCTTTTTCTATTAATTGAGTACATGAGTTTGATGGCTACTCTTTCCTTGTTTTGGAAACTTGAGTCCCTGGCCAACCATTGTTAGAATAAGCCCTCTTTGTTATGGGAAGTGTATTGTATTTTAACCAAGTAATATTTTGATTGTAAAATAAGACTTTAAGGTGTTTTATATGATAGTCATTGGATTTAATTTGAGAACTATTTTTAAAGTTTTTAAAAATAATTACAGCCAGGCATGATGGTAAATACCTGTAATCTCAGAGACTTGAGACATCAAGGAAGGAGGACTGCAAGTTCAAGGACAGCCTCAGCAATTTAGCAAGGCCCTAAAAATTTAGCAAGACCTTGTCTCAAAATAAAAAATAAAAAGGGCTAGAGATGTGTCTCAGTGGCTAATTGCACCCTGGGTTCAGTCCTCAATGCCAAAATAAATAAATAAAAAATAATAATTACAGTTAGGTGTGGTGGCACAAGACTGTAATTTCAATAGCTCCAAGAGGCTGATGCAGGAGGATTGCAAGTTTGAGGCCAGCCTGTGTAACTTAATGAGACCATGTCTCAAAATAAAATTTCAGAGGGCTAGGGATATAACTCAGGGGGATAGCACCCCTAAGTTCAATTCCCAGTACCATAATATATATAAAAGACAAAAATAAATGAATTAAAACAATTGCAGAGATTAATGAAGTATGTAAGATGGGCATAATAGAGCTTGTCTGTCATCCCAGTTAATATGGAGGCTAAGGTGGATCACTTGAGCCCAGGAATTTGAGGCCAGCCTAGGCAAATAATGAGACCCTCTATCAAACAAGAAGAAATAAACTATTTAAGAAGCAGTAAATATACTTTATAAATTAACGTTGATGTTTTTGCCATGCTGCTCTTCCTATGGCATCCCAGCTAATTACACTAAATATAAAAATAATAGAAATACTAATTATTGACATTATTATACCAAAAAATATTCAGAGAACATAATCAAGTCTGTACATTAATTCTATCAAATCTTGCAATTTCCAGGGTTGAATGGAGGTCAATTTGAGACAAGGTTCATGATTGTCCAATCTTTATGGCGCTTTTCTTACAGTAGCTACAATGTAATTATGTTTGAAAAACACTAATCTGCCAGGTTACTGAATTTGCTATCAACTAAAAGTGTAGAAAAAATATTTGAAAGTAGATTTTCATTATATGTTTGTGATCTTAAAAATTAAGGGCTGGGTGTGTAGGTTAGCAATAGTGTACTCACTTCACATGTATGAGTCCCCTCCCTGGGTTTGATCTCCAGCTCCACCAAATAAAAGATAAATAAATAATACACATTATAGTTTACTGACTGCAAGCATTCCATAGTTAAAAGAATTTAGTGGCCTGTGGGTATTTTTGTTGTTGTTTAATATCTACCCTTTAATTGTGACTCTGTATATTAGTCTGCTGAGTTCAGAGTGTTACCAGATTTGGAAGTTCAAGTTTACCAAACTTAAAAACTAAAGCACATAGTCACAGCTTCCATAGCTCCCACTGCCACCGCCTCCGCCTCCGAGCAGAAGATGGCTGTGCCTCCCACTTATGCTGATCTTGGCAAATTTGCCAAGGGCTATGGCTTGGGGTTAATCAAACTTGATTTGAAAACAAAATCTGAGAATGGATTGGAATTTACGACTTCAGGCTCAGCCAACACAGAGACCACCAAAGTGACAGGCAGCCTGGAAACCGAATTTTGTAGGAACAGAGGAGGCAAGGCACCAAAGAGAGCAGGAAACAGTTTTATTTGGCCGCAGCCAAGTTCAGAGGGCAGAGATTTTGCTGTAATCAATCAATCCCCTGAACCCCGAGTTCAGGTAGTTTCAGAATTTTATACCCAGCATGTAAGGGGAGGGGCTCAGAAGTTCACAGTCTGTAGAAGTTCACATAAAAGCAGCTTTTTCTTTCACTGTTCTGGGCAAGTTAACCCTTCAAGGACAACACCTGAGAAGGGGAGAGTGTCTTCTCCCCTGTGTTTCCTCCCCCTGCCAGCTGTTACCATGGAGCCCAGTTGGTAACTTCTCTAATCTTAGAAATGTAGACATCTCTGTGAAGTCCCAGCTCAAGGCCAGAGGCCTTATTTACACATTTTTACAAACTAATATACTGGATACATGTTTGTGAAAAACTAGTAAGGGGGTGTCCAGCACTTGGAGTGCTGATTTCTTCCCAGCCAGTGGCCAAGTAAACAGGGCAACAGGAAAACAAGAAGTTTATCTACATTGAACTCTTTTGTAGAGACTCTTTGGTTGACAGTCCTAAAATCAGCCATGGTGAAGATTTCTGGAGAAGCCCAGTTAAGACTTTTCTGTGGAGAAAGGGGGTGTCACTACCCAAGTAAAGGTGGACTGAATATGGCCTGATGTTTACAGAGAAGTGGAACACATTAGGCACTGAGATCACTATTGAAGATCAGCTTGCACGTGGACTGAAGCTGACCTTTGATTCATACTTGTCACCTAACACTGGGGGAAAAAATGCTAAAATCAAGACAGGGTATAAGTGGGAGCACATCAACCTGAGCTGTGATGTGTGGACTTTGATATTGCGGGGCCTTCAATACAGGGTACTCTAATGCTGGGTTATGAGGACTGACTGGCTGGCTACCAGATGAATTTTGAGATTGCAAGGTCCCGAGTGACCCAAAGCAACTTTGCAGTTGGCTACAAGACTGACGAAATTCAGCTTCACACTAATGTGAGCTATGGGACAGAGTTTGGTGGCTCCATTTATCAGAATGTGAACAAGAAATTGGAGACGGCTGTCAATCTCGCCTGGACAGCAGGAAACAGTAACACTCACTTTGGAATAGCAGCAAAGTATCAAGTTGACTTTGATGCCTGCTTCTCAGCCAAAGTGAATAACTACAGCCTGATGGGTTTAGGATACACTCAGACCCTAAAGCCAAGTATCAAACTGACACTGTCACTTTGATGGATGGCAAGAATGCTGGTGGCCACAAGCTTGGTCTAGGACTGGAATTTCAAGCAAAAATGTACAATCATTAATTTTAAACTATTTTGCAGCATAGCTACCTTCAGAATTTGGTGTGCCTTTTAATGTTGTAGGTCTGGGATGCAAGAATTGCTAAAAATCATATTAGACCTCCAGGTGAAAGAGGATTCAGCTTTAAAGTATTACCATTACAGAAGAAACTGAGTCCAAAAAAAAGATCCTTTCAGATGTAGACTTGTGTGTGTGAGAGAGACTAGTGGCCCCTCTAGAGATGCCAGGTTTCCTTTTTTTTTTTTTTTTATACCTTTATTTTATTTACTTATTTTTATGTGGTGCTGAGGATCGAACCCAGGGCCATGCACATGCTAGGCGAGAGCTCTACTGCTGAGCCACAACTCCAGCCCCCAGGTTTCCTTTTAAAAAAAAAAAATATCTAGAAATGTCTGCAAGAGGAAGCTGATAATGTATAGGCACTTTGTAAATCTGTATTGAGTAAATAAATGGAATTGTGACTTCCTGAAAATCACACCTTGGTTTCCTAACCCTAATTGATGAGGAGCTCTTGCTTTATGGTGTGTACAAACCGATGTGAAAGTAACTTTTTTAGACAGACCTTCATAAACTTTTTCCACTCTAGCTCGTCATGACCTCTTTTACACCAAAAGTAGTCTGCAGGGTGTGGTCACTGTTTCTTTTTCGTGCCATTTTGGGGAGGAGAGGATAGATGTGATAAAGCCAATAATTTAGGATTAATTCCTTTTTGTGTCATGGTTTTCTTGCCCTGCACCAGTGTCTGAAATAGCTTCCAGGAGCTCCAGTTATAGGCTGGAAAGAGTCTGCGTGATTGTCATCACAAAGTGACAACACTAGGAATCGAAATTGGACTTCTGTTGTATTCTCACCACTGAATTTATTTTTTAGCAATGTAATGGATACATTTTGGAGTCTTCCATTTTGTGTGGAATTAGATACTCCCCTTCGAATGCTGTAATTAACATCACTTAAAATAAAACTTGAATAAAATATTGAAACCTGAAAAAGAAAACAAACAAACAAAAAACCCTAAAGCACACAAACACACATACAAAAGAATCTTTCCCATGTGGGAACCTAGAACTATTAACTTTCTAGCAGAGGAAACATTTCTTGCTGAATGGTCAACTGGAGACATCATAGATCAATACATTATACTGACTTGTTTTACCTTTCTTAGATATTTAACTTGGGCATGCAATATTTGTAAAAGTCTCAAACCCTAAAGCTTGAATGGAAGGGGCCTATGGGAGTGGCAGTATAACTCAGTGGTGGGGTACGTGCTGAGCTTGAGGAGGTCCTGGCTTCAATACCCAGCACCAAAAGGAATATTAAAAAGGAATGAAAAAGGGAAAAAAACGGCCTGTGTATATGATTTAAGGTGAATCCATTTCAAATTATTCCTTAAAAGAAATTAACAAAATAAAGAGGTTAGTCATTTGAAAAATGCAAAATTCAGGCTGGGATTGTGGCTCAGTGGTAGAGCGCTCACCTCCCACATGCAAGACTCTGGGTTCAATCCTCGGCACCACATAAAAATAAATAAGTGAAATAAAGGTATTGTTTCTAACAACAATTAAAAAATAAATATTAAAAAAATGCAAAATTCCCAGATCTTGGGATCTTGTGGAAACAGTACAGGATTTCTGGATTCTACTTCTGTTGTTACCACACTTGCCAAAGCAAATCTTGGAAACTTTCAATCTCCACTTTCTAATTTATAAAACAAATGGGTTGATTTCAATTTCCATCTCTCAGATTTCACATAAATCAAGAAAGAAACTTGAGCAAGCCGTAAAATATTAATGATATCTTACATTTATGCTTACGTTGTGCCAGAATTAATTTAATTTTGTTAAAACCTGTTATTAATATTATCCTCATTTTAAAGATGGAAAGCTGAAGCATGGAACAATTTAGAAACTTGCTCCACATTTGCATTTGGTAAGTTATCAAAAATAAAATTTTTAAAAATATTTATTTTTTAGTTATAATCATACACAATACCTTTATTTTATTTATTTATTTTTATGTGGTGCTGAGAATTGAACCCAGGTCTCACACATGCTAGGCAAGTGCTCTACCACTGAGCCACAACTCCAGCTTCCAAATAAATTTTGTAACCAATTACAATGGGGCATGCCTGTAATCCCACCAATTGAACAATTTATTGAGACTTCAAGCAATTTAGTGAAAACCTGTCTCAAAATAAAAAATAAAAAGGGCTGGGGATGTAGCTCAGGGGTAAAGTGCCTCTGGGTTCTATCCCCAGTATCCCCAGCCCCAAATTTCAGCTGGGGGCTCAGCTCAAGGACAGAACATGAGCTTAGTATGTGTGAGACCCTGGGCTCAACACCCAGCACCAAAACAAACAAACAAATAAAATGATGAGATTATACAGGGAATAGTGGTACAAGATTATAATTCCAGCCTTGAGGCAGGGGGATCACAAGTTAAATAGCCAGTCTCAGCAATTTAGTGAAGCCCTAGGCAATTTAGTGAGACTGTCTCAAAATAAAACTATAAAGGATGGGAGATGTGTCTCAGTGGTTAAACACCCCTGCGTTCAATCCCTGCTATGATGATGATGATTGTTGGGTGCAGAGCAGGCTGAACTGTGTTGTCTGCAGGGCAGGCTGAACAGATGTTGGCTGCAAGATAGCCCACGCACTCAAACCCCCCTCTATCTGGTCCTTTATCACCTGTTTGCCTCAAGTCTGAACATTCAACCCTGCTTAAGGCTGAACACTTAACCCCCCCTTGGGCCAACAAGGCAGCTTGCAGACCCAGAGGCCCCATTAGATTTGGGCTATAAAAACTCCCTCCTGCCAGGCCCCCCTCTCTCTTGCTCTTTCTTTCTTGCTCTTTCTCTCTTGCTCTTTCTCTCTTGCTCTCTGTCTCTCTCTCTTGCTCTCTCCCTGTTCATCTCTTCTCTTTTCTCTCTCTCTTTCCTTCTTTCTTTTCTCTTTGTTGCACTGCTGCAGTAAAGATCTCTTGGTCACTCCGAGTGTTGTGGTCACTTTCCTTTCAATGATGATGAAATTATAACTAAAAATTCTGGTTCTATAACCCTGATGATACTCATTCATTAGAAGCATAGAGGAGATAGATTATTTCTAAGGAGGACCAGTAAAGGAAGGCAATACTTAAGCTGAATCTTAAAGAATGGGTAAGATTGTAATAAGAAAACACAAAGAATTGGCGAGAAAATAGAATAAAGGTCCAAAAGATTAGAAAATGTAAAGCATTTATATGGGACAGCAAAAAGCAAGTTCTGGCTAAAGTGCTGCAGAGTAATCTGGAGAGTCTAAAAGATAGATTTATAGGCCCTTGCTCTGGAAATTCTGACTTGCAGATCCTCAGGTCTGGAAACAAGTCTTTTCAACAAGTTCTTCAGATGATTGTGATATGCAGCAAGTTATGAGAAACAGTGTAATAAAAAAACAGAAACTAATACAGATTAGGGCTATCAACTTAAGTTCAACTCAAGTCATGAAAGACTTATGACAAACTAAGGTATTTGGACAATTTGGCCAATAAGATCTCACTGAGGGATTTTTGTTTGCTTGTTTGTTTTGCTTCATTTAAAAAAATTTAAATATGTAAAGTGTTCATGTAGTACAAAATGCAAAAGTCCACCAAAGGGAATTCTCAGTTCCTTTCTACCTCTATTTTCTTGTATTTAAAGCATTTCTTTTGTTTGCTTTGTTTTATTTGCAATGCTAAGGATGGACCCCTAGGCCTTGCACATGCTAGCCAAGCATTCTACCACTGAGCTACATTCCCTGCCCCTGTAGAATTTTAAGAAGAGAAATCAAACCACGAGAGCTCTATCTCAGCAAAATGTATCAGACAGAAGTAGTTCAGCTGAAATCTAATGGAGGCAGGGACAACCTCTGCCATACTGGTAATAGTGGGAAGTAAAAGGAAAAGATGCAAAGTTCTACAGGTAAAAACAACAGGACTTGGTACTTAGCACACAGCCTAGAAGATAACTTATACTTCAAAGTATGTGCTCAGTGGTTCTTAAATGATGTAAGTAGAAGAATGATCAAAATTATTTGAAGGCTTAGAAGCAGAATGGCCACGTGGGCTCTCTCTCATCCAGCGAGGAGGTCCACGGAACAGGGTGGAGGAGAGTGTGGCTGGAACAGGGTAGAGGAGAGTGTGGCTGCAGAGTCGCTAATCAAGATGTTTGGAAACCAAGCTGGAAGCAGGTCTGATTTTATTGCGCAATACCATGTATGTATACTCAGGCAGTAGCTAAGCAGATTACAGGCAGCCACCAATATAATTTCTTGCCATCTGCCTTGCAGTGACCAACCAAGGAGCAGGTTGTGGAGAAAGGGCTGGGCCTCATGCCCAGGGCTATGCCTATGGGGTAAGTGGTTTGTCATTTCACGCCCGAGGAGAGTGGTTTGCCACTCAGGCGCCCTTAAGTATGCCATGTACGCAGTACTCCATGGACTTGTCCCCACAAATGAGTAGGAGCTGAAAAAGTGTCGTTAACATTGTTAAAACAAAAGCAAAATTGCAAGGTTTATGGAGGGGGAAGAAGATGATGGATATGGTTTTGAAGCTAGGAGCTGAAAATGCTTATAGTTCATGCAAATAGAAACTTCTATCACATGGATAGAATAGTGATTTGGTAGCCAGGAGTGGTAGTGCATGCCTCTAACCCCAGTGACACCGGAGGCTGAGAAAGGAGAATCACAAGTTTACAGCCAACCTCAAAGGCAGGTGCGGTGGCATAGGCCTGTAATCCCAACAGCTCTGGAGGCTGAGGCAGGAGGATCGTGAATTCAAAGCCAGCCTCAGCAACCTAGTGAGGGCCTCAGCAATTTAGCAAGACGCTGTCTCTAAAAAAAAAAAAAAAAAAAAAAAAGGCCTGGGGATGTGGTTCAGTAGCTAAACGTTCAACCCCTGGTATTAAAAAAAAAAAAAAA